GTGATATGTTGAGCACCTAGCATTATCGTTTTTCTAAGTCCAGCTTGGGAAGCCTCACTAATTAGCAAAGGGCTGGAACTATTAGAAAAACCTCATGAGACACCTGTCCTACCTCTGCGCCTCGAAAGGGATGGAGGACCGTGAAGTTGAATGTATAAGAATTGAACTTGGGCTTGGATGGAAGGATCAATGAGTGGATGAATGAATACACTGATTAATGAATAAGTAGACAGATGAATAGTTTGATAGATTGGCGGCTGGTAGAATGAATGATCAGAATTATAACATAAACAAATAGATAGAAGTGATAGAAGAACGAGCTAGTGGAGAATGGACGGACCAGTTCATGAACAGATGGAAAGGGGAAGGGTAAATAAATGAACGGATAAACTGATCGATGAATTGATAAACAAAACAAAACTTTTTAAGTGATAACGTAGAAAATTCTATGGCATAATGAGAGGCTAACAAGGTCAAGTTTTTTTGTTTTAAGGAGGAAGAAATATGCGATGAAAAGAAATTGTAAATTGCCAAGTATGGGAGGAAAAAGAAGAATGATGAAAAATCGTTGTTTACGATTTGACCTGTGAGATATGTGGTCGTTGTTTTTCATGCACCGATTAACTGGAATCATTTTCGTTTCTTCCCACTCATTTATTAACCTCGGAAGGCAGAAAGGTCAGTGGTCTTGACCGTACAAGTTTGAACCGAGGAGCTGCCGGTTATGAGTCCAACGTTCTGTGCAACGATTGACCCAGGTCTGAGGCAACGCATTGTAAATTCTTTGCTCAAGGGACCCTGTGGGAATCAAACTTTGGCTTTCACAGTCCCTCTGCGGGAATCGAACTCGCACCTCAGGAGTTTCAGTTTGAAACCACCTCTTACGCACGGTGCCACCATGCTACTTACCACGTTACTCGCCACAACCAGTGTCAACAGTGTGCTCTCGTCGACTGATACCTCGTCGTCGCACTCGCACTCGCAGTCGCGCTCGGCGTCGCTGGCCGTGTGCTGTTTGTCTAAGCGCAGTCAGTCGTCGCCGTTGTTCAATTCCACCGGTAGAGTTCATAAGCACGTGGACTAGCGAGCAGCTGTTGTCGAGAGAGTAAACCACGACCGTCGACTGTGTTTCACCGTCGTCGAACTGCCAACGCCACGGATTCGTATGAAGTACCTGGCTTGCCTGACGAGAGACGGGTAAGTGTGCACCACTGACTACGAGACAGCCGATGATCTTCAGGTTCGTTCAAGGAATAAAGAATAAACCATAAGCGTTCGCACGTCGACTTCGACTTCGACGGACCCGCAGGTCGAGAGATACAGTATGAAAGCCTGCTACTCGTTATGGTACTACGGTTGGAGAGACGTGCCGTTCGTTTGCAACAGTGAGTTCTTGTTTCTGGTCGCCTGGCAGATGATCAGCAACAAACGAATGATGCCTCATCGCATAATGATGCAGGTGTCGAACAAGTGCGTTAAGCTGACCGTGCCGAAGGGCGAAGTGTTCACAGACGGCACCAAGCAGTTCGCCAAGTTCAGAATCCCTGTCCACGCCGTCGCGCTGAGTACCGTCGGTCCGTACCCTCGGGACAACGTCGTCGCCATCCTGATGGTACCGATCAAGAACGTGTCCAGCAACGCCGGCGTGCTGGTTTTCCGATGTGACTCGGCGGAGACGGCCGCCGCCGCACAGTACTCCATGCAGAAGATGATCAGGCACCACCACGACTCCAGGTTCCCC